GCTGCTACTTTCTCATTATTGGGGTTTGTAAGAACTTCATGGCAAGTGTGTTATCAGCTGGTGGAAGGAGAGAGCTTCAGACCTGTGAGCCTGCCCAGGCTCAGCCTGATGCAGAACCAGCTCCCTCATGAAAGCACCCCTATCTAGAAGAGAATCGGGGGTGGGAGTGGGGGGCCCAGAGGCCAGAGAGCCTGGAGACCAGAGATGGTGGCATCATGGGCAGCAGCTTTGTGATCAGACAGACCCTGTGCTCAGATCCTGCCTCTGCCGCTTCAGAGCTGTCTGAACAGCTCTCGGAGCCTCAGTGTTTCATCTGTAAAACTCCAAAGAGTAACTGTTTTATAGAGTTGTTGTAGGAAATAAGACAACAGAAGAGAGAGCCTGGTGCAGGTGAGCTGCTAGTAATCGGTAGCCCTTATAATTGTATCAAGAAGAAGTCGGGCGGGAGCCAGCAGCTGCTTCCTTGTCATTCTCAGCCCAAAGCTGTTTGTAAACTTTCAATCGGATAAACAGTGGATAACATAGATGTTCGAATATTGGCTATTGAAATGCCTGTGTGTGCCCAAATTCCTCTACTTAGTAGCTGTGTGACCTCGGACAAAGTTACATAACTTCTTTTGTCTTCAGTGTCTGCATCTATAAAATGGGGATAATAAAAGTCGCTGCCACGGACAGTTGTTGTGAGGACTGAATTAATGAACATATAAAGCTTTAGACTAGTGTTTGGCACACAGTTTGGCAAATGCCAGTTGCCGTTCATTCTCTTAGCATTTTGTGTTCTCAGACCTTCTGTAGCCATCTGTGCTTTAATATAAAATCATAACGTCTCTCTCTCTCTCTCAAGTAAAATTGACATCTCAGGCCCTACATGGTTTGGCTCAGTGGATAGAGCGTCGATCTGTGAACTGAAAGGTCCCAGGTTCGATTCCAGTCAAGGGCACATGCCCTGGTTGTGGGCTCGATCCCCAGTGAGGGGCTTGCAGGAGACAGCCAATCAATGATTCTCTCTCATCATTGATCTCTCTCTCTCTCTCTCTCTCTCTCTCTCTCTCTCTCTCTTCCTTTCTCTCTGAAATCAATAAAATATATTTTTTTAAAAATTGATATCTCAGGAAGATGTACAGGTTTTTATCACATGGCTCTGCGAGACCCGCACCCAGCCAACTTCTCACACAGTCACACGTGTGCCTGTGCATGCACATACGCACAGAGGCACACCCTTTGAAGGCCGTGCTACGCTATGCTGCTTCCCAAATGGGCTGAAACAAGTTCTCTTGCTTGGAGAACTGCCTGCACTCTTCCTCCCACTCAGCGTGCTCTGGAGGGCGGCAGGAAAGGCGCTCACCTCTCAGCAGGAGCACAGTCCTTGGCAAAACTGACGTGGGAGGAAGTCCTGGCTCCAGCTCCTCACCTGAGTGTCAGAGCCCGGGTCCCAGCCCTGACTCTATCCCCTCCTGACGGTGCCACCCTAGGCACAAAGTTTCACCTCTCTAAGCCCCGGCTTCTCATCTCAGAAAAGCAACTGACCATGTCTACCTTTCAGCATTTTTGTGAGCATTAGAGAAACACATAAAAGTGCAAGGCACAGCCCGGCTGGCGTGGCTCAGCGGTTGAGCATCGACCTATGAACTGGGAGATACAGTTCGATTCCCGATCCAGGGCAGATACCCGGGTTGTAGGCTCGACCCCCAGTGTGGGTGTGCAGGAGGCAGCCGATCAGCCGATGGATCATTCTCATCATTGATGTTCCTATCTCTCTTTCTCTCTCCTTTCCTCTCTTAAATCAATAAAAAGATATAGAAAAATAAGTGCCAGGCACATAGTCATTGCTCCATACCTGAGAGCTCTTAAAAGCCTGGCTGGTTCGGTAATTCTGTAAAAGCTATCTTTGCTCTATTCTTTAGTAAAACAGGGCTATGGTCCCTGTGCCTTACATAATCAATATGCGCTATTGCTTTATAACACATCTGTTACTCCAATAAAGGTGTTCTTTTTCTCCTGAAGTTATTTCATTTCACGTTTTACTCCTATTTTACAATGTCTGGGCAAGTCATGGGAGCCCACCCGGCCTCAGTTTCCTTATCTCTAAAATGGGAAAAATGCCTTCCTCACGAGGTTGTTTTGAGAATTCATGAGATGGTGCATGTAAAAGGGCTTTGTAAACTGTAAAGTTGAACAAGTGTCAGAGATGATGCTTTTGCACCCCCACTCCCCCTTCTCTCTCACTAGGCTGAATTCCTCAAAGACAGGAAGGAGCTTTATTAACCTTTGTATCCTCGGCATTGAATGTGTAGTCATAAGTTTAATAGCAATGGCGATATGGTGACAGTGATAAGAACTTTTATTTCTTGAACACTTAACTGTGTGGGGAGCGCTGACCTAAGTGCATTTCATGGAAAGGTGAGTGATAGACATTTAAAAATGTTTGGTTCCCTCTGCTGATTGTTTAAGGTGAAGCGGTTGTTTTACTTTCTCTTGGGCAAGTTCTGTCTTCCATACCGCAAGCAAATGATTTTTTGTTTTAATTTTTGGAGACAAATTGATTTTATTCTTGGGTCTTATACATTGTCTGGCCAGTCCAGAGGAATAACAATAAGAGCAGTCTTTCCTTTCTTTATTTTTACAATGGGGCTAATGATCAACTTGCCTCATGGAAATGTGTTGCATAAATGACAATAACTTTCCCTTACTCCTCTCCCATCTGCACACGCCCTTCCCTCGGAGAAGATGGTGGCAACAGGGCAAGATGATTAAACTGGGCGGCAGCAGAGCTGAGTCCCTTAACCATTCGTTTTTTTTTTGTTTTGTTTTGTTTTTAATATATTTTATTGATTTTTTACAGAGAGGAAGGGAGAGAGATAGAGAGTTAGAAACATCGACTAGCTGCTTCCTGCACATCTCCCACTGGGGATGTGCCCGCAACCCAGGTACATGCCCTTGACCGGAATCGAACCTGGGACCCTTCAGTCCGCAGGCCGACGCTCTATCCACTGAGCCAAACCGGTTTCGGCAACCATTCGTTTTTTGGGGGCACAAGGTGGCAGGTCTTTCAGGAGTAATTCCCCAGTTCAGAGGTCCTCCAAGTCCTGCTCCTTCAGAAAATCTCCCTTATCTGCCGTAGCCAAAGATTCAGCTCACCCAAATGCCACATGCCCACCCCCTGTGATTATGTGTTGCATATTCCAAGTAGATACAAGTCCTGGAAGGCAGGGTTATGTGTCAGTGGTTTGATTTCTATTTTTCCAAGCACTTCCTTTATATCATCTTATTTAATCTTGTATAAACCTTTCAAAGTCCTCAAGTCACAGATAGGGCAGCGGAGGCCCAGAGAATTGAAGGCCTCGTTAAGGCCACAGAGTGAGTGACAGGACCAGTCCTGTGATCCCAAGCCTGCCAGGAGCCTGCCTGAGCCTACGGACTCTCTGAGCATCTTGACACCAGGCTTTGTGCTTGGCGCTCACAGTAATTTTGTAAAGCAGGCGCTGTCCCCATTTTCCAGATGAGGAAACTGAGGCTTGGGAGGGTGAAATAACTTGCCCATGTCAGACAGCACGAAGGGACAGCACCATGATTTGATCAGGGCTGACCCCAAAATGTGCTTTTCAGTTACTACCCTGAGGCCCCTGCAGCTTTGCTGTTTTGGAGCCTCAGAAAGACGGGCCTCTCGGAGCCTCTGCGACTCTGCGACAGTAATGTTGCACCCCAATGCAAGAAGCGATGGCCAAGGCTGACCCCCACGCCCCCATCTCTCAGCCCCAGCAGCAGGGTCAGGGATTCACAGAACAGGACACATAGGCCCCTGCTGCAGCCGTGATCTGTATGGAGCGCCCCCCACCCTGCCGCCCCCCCAGCCAATCCCCAGAGCCCATTGTTTCTCCAGGAGACAATACAGATAAAGGACCCAGCCTAGTGGGCTGCCTACATCAATCTGTAACCATGGAAACCCATAGGGAGACAATTCCAAAGCCCTCCCTGTCACCCTCCACCCTGCAGCTGTGGCTCCAGGAACCCAGCCTCCAGCAGGAGGGGCATGGTGATAATTGCCACTCCTCTCCCCCCGCCCTCCCCCTACACCACCACCAAATAGGACACAGCTGGGCTCCCCTCGTCATACATCCTCCCCCCACATCCCCCAGTCCCAGAAATGTCGTTGGCAAAGGAGCCTTGGATGCGTTTAAGACCAATTTCCATTGCAAGAAGGTCAGTTCTAAGAGATTCAGCACTGGTTAGATATGTCCTTGGTCCCAGGGTTGGACACAGGGAAAAAGAGCTCAGCAGAATCCCTAACCATTGACCCGTCAACCAGGTCCCTGGGAAGGGCTTAGGTCCTCAGTGCGTGACTTCCCCCTGGTGGCCAGTTGCTGCAATTGTCAGCTGAGGCGCTGGAGAGGAACAAACATTACTTCTTCCTGGGTAGCTACTGTGCTCCAGATGCCCACACGTGTTAGATCTAATCATCACAACCGCCCTGTGAGGTGGTGTTCTCATGCTTAGACACGCCGAAGACGAGGCTTTCAGAGGATATCCTAAAGGAAGCATACAGAGCAGAGAGGGGAAGAGGGTGAACCCAGACTACCCTGGCTCAAATCCTGCTCCACCATCACCAGCCCTGTGACCTTAGGCTAATCACCTAAACGCCCTGAGCTTCAGTTTCTTCATCTCTAAAATGGGAGTGACAACAATACATACCTCATACGGATGCTATGAGGATCCTATGAGTTAAGATTTATAAGGCTTCAGATCTGGGGACCGGCACATAGTAAATAAACAAAATCCCAGACCCTGACACTCACGTTGTGTGCTTTCGGGCATCTCATTGAACTACACCTGGCCTCAGTCGCCTCAGCTGTAAAATGGGGCTAATTATGACTTTCCTCATAGGGTTATGGTGATCACTGATGTGGATTTGGGGTGCTGCCGACCTCGCTTTGCTACTATTAGCATTGTTTGTTTTGGATCTGCCTTTGCGGGGAGGAATGATTATGGGGGCAGGGGGATGGATGACGTTAGAAATTGAGAAGTCATGCTTCTCCACAGGCCAGGAGAAGGAGGTACCTGAGACCTTGGCCCCCCATGTCCCCCCAGGCAGAATCACAGAGAGACTCTGACGGTGTGGCCAGAGACTTCCCTGGGAAGAGATTGGGAGTGGCCTTTCAACTGTTCCAAAAACCGTTCACTGAGTTCACTTCAGTAATCAGTTGTTGAGCTTCTCCTCTGCAATTGGCACTGGGCTGCATATTGGGGTGTGAAGATAAAGAAGAAGAGGATCTTCTTCAATCTGGTGGAGAAGATAGGACAGAACAACAGTTGTCATGCTATTGGTGGGGAGCACTCCTGTCCCCACCTGCTGCTGAGCAGAGTGCATTTCTTGGGGTGCCGCTGGAATAAGGATTTCCAGGGGCCCCCACGGGGGGATGAGGTATTGTGGAAAGCTTTACGTCTGTGGAATTACACCCTGACTTTGCAGGGTCCCATTTCCCTTTGTCCCCGCACAGAGGACGTGTCGCTGTGACTTCAGTAGGGCTAGAATTAAAGCCATTGCCCAGAGCTTTCGTTCCATGCCCGCACAGTCCAATACAGCACCAGGCCAGCCGAATCTGTGTTCCCAGTTGCAGTCCACCAGTCCACTGCGTGTGAAGTCCCTATGGCCATGGGGCTACGGAGAACCGGGGTGAATGCAGGGAAGCAGGAGCCAAACCAAAGGAACCAGAGAGCCAAGAGAGAGGGAGAATTCCTTTGTCTAGTGCATTGGTCGGCAAACCGTGGCTCGCGAGCCACATGCAGCTCTTTGGCCCCTAGAGTGTGGCTCTTCCACAAAATACCATGTCCGGGCGCGCACATACAGTGCGACTGAAACTTCGTGGCCCATGTACAGAAGTCGGTTTTCGACCTGGGCGAGTCTATTTTGAAGAAGAGGCGTTAGAAGAAGTGGGGGTACGTTTGCTGAGGTCGACCCCTCAGATTGAGGACATTTTTAGCAAAGGCCAGCATAGGAGTACCCTAATTAAGTTAATAACAATGTACCTACCTATATAGTTTAAGTTTAAAAAATTTGGCTCTCAAAAGAAATTTCAATCGTTGTACTGTTGATATTTGGCTCTGTTGACTAATGAGTTTGCCGACCACTGAGCTAGGGGATTGTGTATTCCCAAACTTTCGAGGGTTTGCAGTGACCCTGTCCCCTCTGGCCAATGATCTGTGTTCCCAGGTTTGACTGACAGGCATCTTCCCTTTGTGATTCTGACTTTACTGCACAACCATCTATCTTCCCCCTTTGTCCAGTCCCTTCCCCCAGTAATCTGCAGGGAGTAGGCCGGTGGTTCCTGGGGAGTGTAAAGCTGCAGCTTCCTGGTAAAGCTGCCCAAATGGCGATGCCTATAATATCTGGCCTCCCTTTGGCTCATTTCCTATATAATAAAAGGCTAATATGCAAATTGTCCTCTCAACAGGGAGTTTGACCAGGAGGTGGAGCAAGCAGCCAACCACCTGTGGCCCCTCTCCACCCCAGCCTCAAACCCTCCCCCTGGCTGGCCCAGCCCTATGGGGCAGGCTGACAGGACCCCACCTGTGCACAAATTTGTGCACCAGGCCTCTGCTAGCAAATCACAACGGTATCAATTACAATGTGAAATGATGACAGACTGAAATTCCTAACAGGAAGTGGGGGACAAGGTCAGAGTCAGCTTCTGAGCCAGATTCCAACAATTGAATGTCTTACTATTTCAAATGAATTCTGAGTCTTGTTTTTTAATGCAATTAATCTGTATTATTTTTTTAAATATATATTTTTTATTGATTTCAGAGAGCAAGGGAGAGGGAGAGAGAGAAAAAACATCAATGATGAGAGAGAATCATTGATCGGCTCCCTCCTGTACCCCACACATTGGGGATGGAGACTGCAACCCGAGCATGTGCCCTTGACCAGGAGTCAAATCATGACCTCCTGGTTCACAGATCGACGCTCAAACACTGAGCCATGCTGGCCGGGCTGTATGTTTTTTTTTAATAAGAGAAAGATTTTTTTTTAAATATATTTTATTGATTTTTTACAGAGAGGAAGGGAGAGAGATAGAGAGTTAGAAACATCGATGAGAGAGAGACATCGATTAGCTGCCTCCTGCACATCTCCCACTGGGGATGTGCCCGCAACCCAGGTACATGCCCTTGACCGGAATCGAACCTGGGACCTTTCAGTCCGCAGGCCGACACTCTATCCACTGAGCCAAACCGGTCAGGGCTGAAGCCTTATTTTTTAATAAGCTTTTATTTAGAAAGTTACAGAGTTAGTTAGTAGAAATGAGCCCGCTGGGCTGCGTAGGCTCAGGAAACAAGTTACAGAAGCAAAAGAAGGGCCCTTGGAGCTTAGAGAGAAAGGCAAAGGTAATACCTCTGGTGGAGAAGAGAGGGAGGAAGGGGAAGTGCAGGCAAGCTCCTGAGAGGGAGATCGCTGGTCTGGAGTCTTGATTTTGTTGTCCCAGGTTTCAATTCTGTTAGTCTGAAGCAGTGGTAGGCAAACTGCGGCTCCCGAGCCACATGCGGCTCTTTGGCCTCTTGAGTGTGGCTCTTCCTAAGCCTTAGGAGTACCCTAATTAAGTTCATAACAATGTACCCACCTATATAGTTTAAGTTTAAAAAATTTGGCTCTCAAAAGAAATTTCAATCGTTGTACTGTTGATATTTGGCTCTGTTGACTAATGAGTTTGC